GGTAGCGCATGCCTGTGATTCCAGCTACTCGGAAGGCTGAGGTGGAAGGATCGTCAGAGCCCAGCAGGTCGAGGCTGCGGTGGCCGGGAGCGGCCACTGCACTCCAGTCTGGGCGACAGAGTGAGACTCTGACTCAAAAAAAAAAAAGAAAGAATGGAATGCTTTATTCTCACTGATATAATTTCAAACGGTCTATAATTTTAAAGAACAGTATTCCTCAGAAAATAATTACTCAAGCCGGGCTCGGTGGCTCAGCCTGTAATCCCGCGCCTTTGGGAGGCTGAGGTGAGTGGATTGCCTGAGCCCGCGGGTTTGAGACCCACCTGGGCAGCAAGACCTCATCGCTACAATAAATCAAGAAATCAGCCGGGCATGGTAGCGCATGCCTGTAATTCCGGCTACTTGGAAGACTGAGGCGGAAGGATCTCCGGAGCCCAGCAGTTCGAGGCTGCGGTGGCCAGGAGCGGCCACTGCACTCCAGTCTGGGCGACAGAGTGAGACTCCAACTCAAAAAAAAAAAAAAAAACGAAAATAGTTACTCAAAGACAGAGGTATTTTGACATTTTACAGGTGCAGCATGTCCTAGGGAGAAATATTTTCAGTAGACTTTGCAGCTGCTTTATATGTGTGTTGTTTCAACCTCTTGAGTAGCACAGTTAGTTTTTACTTGCTCAGTCTGAGCTAGTTTTTACTTTGACATTTAAAAATATCCCCCTCTCCTACCTTGGGGAGGTGAATCTCTTTCTCTCTCTCTCTGTCTCTCTCTCTCTCTTTCTCTCCCTCTCCCTCCCTCTCTCGCCCCCTCCCTTTCCATTGTAGTTTTTAAATTATATTTTCCAATGTTAATTAATTAATTAAGAATAGATGCCCCTCTAAGCTGCATGGATATTTAAGCATGACATCAGATAAGTATTCTAAATTTCACAGTATATCTAAACACAGTTTACCCACCTGAGTACATAAGCAGCGCCTGTGAAACAAATCAACAGGGTAAACAAATGTAATATTAGAGTTGTGCTTTTCAGACAAGGTGTCCTGACATTGATATACTAGAATCAATTGTGGCCCAGGCTATTGGAGAGCCTGCCTAGTGACTTGAGAGTAGTCATTTGACTGGCTTTCTCATCTCAACAACTACGTGGCTTAAAGGTCATCTAGTTCAACCCTTCTGTTGAAAATGGGTTGGCCAGGTACGGTGGCTCACACCTGTAATCCCAGCATTTTGGGAGGCAGAGGCAAGAGGATTGCCTGAGCCCATGGGTTTGAGACCAACCTGGGCAACATGATCCCTCATCTCTACAATAAGTAAAAAAATTGGGCAGGCATGGTGGCACACACCTATAGTTCCAGCTACTTGGAAGGCTGAGGTGGAAGGATCACCTGAGTCGAGCAGATCAAGGCTTTAGTCACTATGAGTGCGTCACTGCACTCCATCCTGGGCGACAGAGTAAGATTCCAATTGGAAACAAAAAAAAAAAGAAAAGAAAAAAGAAAATGGATTGTAGTAGGTAAGAATAGGCTAAGAATTTTGAAGTTGATTACAGTCAATGTAAGTAATTAGCTAGATGTGGTGATGTGACCCTGTGGTCCCAGCTACTCAAGAGGCTGAGGTGGGAGGATTGCTTGAGCCCAGGAGGTTGAGGCTGCAGTGCACTATGATGGTACCTATGAATAGCCACTGTACTGTAGCCTGGTCAACATAGCAAGATAGCAAGATTTTGTTCCTCCTCTCTCTCTTGCTCTAAACACACACACACACACACACCCTTGAGAAAAGAAACCTAAATGTTTTTTTCTAATTATAAGAGCAATACAAGCCGGGCTCGGTGGCTCAGCCTGTAATCCCGCGCCTTTGGGAGGCTGAGGTGA